GGTAAACAATAGCACTGAGCCAGTGTTCAGACAGTTGGAAGCATTATTTAAAAATAAACCTTTTACTGAGTAAAAACTGTATTTCTGACTCGGCTCTTGTTCAAACACAGCTCCATATCTGGCTCTCGTGCCAGTGAGCAGCAAACCTGTTTTTAAAGCCTACTTCTGCTTCGGCTGACATGTCTGAGTGCAGAGTTGACAAACATGAGACTGGTCACGTGCACGCTCTATGTTTAGCTATGCTGCCTGACAAACAGCTAAAGTAAGCCAGCAGGATCCTCCCTCCCCAGGACTCTGACCTGCAGAACAACAAAGCGCTCGTTCTCTGGGTCAGAGCCGGAGGACGGAGCTCTGCGAAGCGCCTCGCTGCTCAGACGTGTGCCGAGGAAAAACCGCTGAAACCCGGAGCGTTTTGACATGTTGGTTTTTGTCAGTTTGGCCTTTATGACTCAGTTCCTCCGCACAGGGCCTCTATCTGTGCTCCCTCAGCCAGATTATCACCGGGAGACGGGGTCAGAGGTCACGTGTCACGCTCTGCGGAGCAGCATGTTCGCTGAAGGCAAACAGCACAGACCAACAGTCAGTTTCTCTCCAAAGCATTACCAATAAAATGTTTAATATTAAATGCACAAAACAATTAAAGCCATTSTTTTCTAAATAAAACAGAGGTTTGAGTAAAGATAAGAATTCTTATTCAGTTTCTGTACGTATTCTGTTGGCGTCATCAATGCTGACCTACTTTCAGGCACTTCGGCTGTTTCCGTGGGTAAACAAACACACTTCGGCTGTTTCCATTGGTAAACAGGCACGTGGTATTTAGCGTTTGGTCACAACATTATGAATGTTTTTTAAACTCATGACCCTTAAATCAAACACCGAACAGCTTTAAAGATCATTTTGTGACATTAAAGGATAACCTTTGGGTGATATCTTCTATAAAATATAATTTCAGTAAAAATCTATGGATATTCATTTACAACTGGCTTCTTTAGCTTTATTTGTTTTCTATTTGTACAGAGGCCTGAGACGTTTGATGTTACTTGGTGCTGCATAAATAGATTTAATTCAATTAACCTTTGAAGTTAATCTAATGCGAGATGGTTGCCACAGCTCTCAACTTTAACAAACACAAAAATGACCGTAACTCAGTCAGTTTGACAAATATTGAGCTAAAATTTGGTGTGGTAGTAGCGGAGAGTCATTCACTACATACAKTCTGAGCACTAACTAATCATGCAAGATTAGTCTTATATAGAGCTTTTCTCAAAATAGTTTTCAGTTTTTCTTGCATTCATCCATTCACACACTGATGGTGGTAAGCTACACTGTAGCCACAGCTGCTCTGGGGCACACTGACAGGCGGGGCTGCCATGCACCGGCGCCAACGGACCCTCTGACCACCATCACTAGGAAAGGCAGGTGTCTTGCTCAAGGACACAATGACTGAGACAGTTGGAATGGGGGATTGAACCGGCAACCCACTGGTTACAGAACAACTCCCTGACCTCTTGGTTTAGTTCCTGGCTGAAGAGTTGCTTTCAGCTGTTTTAAAGATGGCAGCCATGTTTGGGTTCAGTTTGTCACCAGGATGTGAGGTCTACTGAAAGTCTCCTCTCAAACACGCTGGTCCCACAGCAGGCTGGGCTGGGAACCGCTGGAGGACAGGTGTATATGTGGTCACAGTTTGGTCTTCATCGATGTTCTCCATTTGAACCGCAGGCTGAAACCTTGAATCATGCTCGTAATGTGTTTGTGCACACCCGCTGCTTAAAGCCGGAGGAACGTGCGGAATTCAGATTAACACGTGAGCGTCAGACGTAAGATGTGAAGTTGTGAAGGAACTGCAGAACGGAGGTGAGAGTCAGGGAAATTACTGAGTTCTTCTGGATGACGGTGACAGAGTGGAGCAACATCATCTCAGCGATGGCCGTACAAAACGAAGATGACTGTACAAAACGAAGATGACTGTACAAAACGAAGATGGCCGTACGAAGCGATGATGGCCGTATGAAGCGACGATGGACGTATGAAGCGATCATTGCCGTATGAAGCAACGATGGCCGTATGAAGCGACGATGGCCGTACGAAGCAACGATGGCCGTATGAAGCGACGATGGCCGTAAGAAGTGACGATGGCCGTATGAAGTGACGATGGCCTTATGAAGCGACGATGGCCGTATGAAGCGACGATGGCCGTACGAAGCGACGATGGCCGTACGAAGCGACGATGGCCGTACAAAAGGACGATGGCTGTACAAAACGAAGATGGCCGTACGAAGCGACGATGGCCGTACGAAGCGACGATGGCCGTACGAAGCGACGATGGCCGTACGAAACGAAGATGGCCGTACGAAGCGACGATGGCCGTACGAAACGAAGATGGCCGTACGAAGCGACGATGGCCGTACGAAGCGACGATGGCCGTACGAAGCGACGATGGCCGTACAAAAGGATGATGGCCGTACGAAGCGACGATGGCCGTACGAAGCGACGATGGCCTAACAAAACGAAGAAGGCCATACGAAGTGACGATGGCCGTACAAAACGATGATGGCCATTTGAAGAGTTGATGGCTGTACGAAGAGATGAAGGCCATACGAAGCGATGAAAGCCATACGTATCAATGAGGGTCGTACATAGCAATGGTTTGTAGCCATTTTTGAAGGTTTTATCAGAAAAGTCTATGGAGCTAATTTTTACTTTGAAAGTCCAGTATAACAGATTGAAAGATTAATGTATTTCTCACAATTTGAAGCTTTAATATTTAATACAAACTCTGTAACAATGGCCTATCTGCTTAGTAATCTGGCAGGCCTTGCTCTTCATAAACTGTTTTTATTTATATAAAACAGGTATTTTTATTATCTTGAACGCCTGTTTCTTATCTCGACTCCCCCCATAAACTCCCATATCTTATTAATGTGTTACGTGAGGAAAAGTGAGCTGCTGCGTCATCAGGATGGCTCAATGTGAACCTGCATTCCACATGTTAGTGGCAACTCGTGATGTGTTCAGGAGCAAAGTTTGTGTAGGATTTTATATCTCTCTGTGTCATTAGGCCAACGCTGCTTTTGCCCACGAGTCCACGGAGGGGACGGGGAGCAAACTGACGGCTCAGCGGTTTGAATGTTTACCATTTGTACCAAGTGGGCAGATTTTTATCGGTGCGACGCTGTTGGGTCCAGAGTGGTGGGAATAACTCTTTTGAATGTTCAGCCAAACGAGCAACAAAAGCCGTGTTGTGCAAACAATGTGACCCCCCTGAGGTTGTGTAGACACATATACCAACGGGTCCAGTTAAAGTGCTTTCTCCAGTTCTACATTTAAAGTCTTACATCACAGAGAAAATAAACCCCAAAGTGTTGGATTTAGAGTAAATAGAGGTCATTCCTTGAAGGAATGCATATAAAGAAACATATTTACACATTAAAATCTGAAAAACCGCTGACTGAATTATAATTATGCATCACTTAATTTATACAGTCTATCGTAGAGGTGCTAATTCCAGATGTTTCTCTGTTTCAGGACCGGAATCGGCCCTTTGACCCCTTTAATTTGGTCTCTTTGGAGAATTCCTTAATGGATATGATAAGGACTGACCATGACAAAGGTAAACCACACCCAGCCAGCGGCCCACCCATGACTATCGCTGATATAATATGGAGGAATCATATYGCAGGTTAGGAATATTCATATTCATGTTTGCCATACTGTATTAAGGTTGTTGTTTTCACCTTTAATTGATTTTAATCTGTTAATCTGGAATCTTTTCAGTGTCATGTTGGAATTAAAATCAGACAATAAGATTTTTCTACAAAATTACACATGATTAAAAACTAAAATCCCAATCAGAAGGATTTATAGTAGTAATATTGTTATTTTTGAAGGGTTGTTCTGTCTAAATATCACAAAGGCAAACATTTTATTGTTTAAATTTCTGAGGGGTGGCATCTTCAGGGTGAAATGAACTTCCTGTTACCGACTTTATAACTTATAGATTAAAGTGTAACTTACCCCACTGTGAAAAGATAACTCCGCCCCAAGGCGAAATTTGAAAAATGCATCAAAGTGGGTAGGGGAGGGGGTGTGGGTGGGTAGGTGTGTGTGTGTGTGTGTGTGTGTGTGTGTGTGTGTGTGTGTGTGTGTGTGTGTGGGATGGACCACTGATCTGTTACTGCCTT